GGTCGTCGAGGGCAGAGGGATACCCTTGGTTTCAAGCACCAAGACGGGACTTAAGGGAGCCCTTTTGATGGGATCAACAGGTGGATTCCAAAGGCAAACCAATAGAAGCGGGCAGTCTTTGGATCTCTCATGCCCTCACCTCTGACGTTCCCAAACTGGCAACGTATCAAAACGAGTGAAGAGTTCCAACCAAATCGACTGTAGCTTGACTATTGGGTTGGATTTTTGCAGGGTCGTTACCGCAAAGGTCACTTTTCTGCAATTCCAAACCGTGGGGCCAAGTCCCTCAAAGGCGCCGGCCGGGACCGGAAGGACACGAAGCGTCGAAAGGCCGCCGAGCCTCGCTCCGAAGTTGCGCGGGTGTGCTCGCATACCTCACATGTAGACCATAAGATGCATACATTCATACAGACACATGCATACATACACATGCATACATGCATGCATACAGAAGGGTGGTTTGGTAAAAGGAAGATGGACCGATGAACCATGTGCATTTAATCATTTGCCGGCAATGAGCGCAGAGTCGGAGGAAAGAACGGCTCGGGTCCAGTTGAGCACAACTTCCCAGCCGGATTTCGGAAATGGTTGGAGCCAGATCCGCGAAAGTTTCGCGAAAGCCAGTGGACCCCGCCGTCAGTTTCTGGACATGGGTGGTTAGCAGGCCTCCTGTACTACAGCGCGGCTTTTGAGCTGGGGCTGCGGAAGTTTTCTTCGTGAGCTACTGTGGTTCTGAAAAGTTGCAGCTTTCGAGCTGAGGCGGCAGAAGTAGACTTCGCGTGGTACTTTGGTACTGAAAACTTGCAACATTTGAGCCGGAGCTGCGGACGTGCACTTCGCACGTGCTTTCGAGCCGGAACTGCGGAAGTGTACTTTGTACACTACTATTGTACTGAAAGACACATACGTTGACATACATGCGTGCATTTGCGCATACGTACGTTCACACGCAACTATGTGAACGTACATGCGAATATGCGCACACGCGCCCGTGTTTGCACGCATGCTTGCACACATACACACACACATATATATATATATATATGTGTGTACGTGTTTGCATGTATGCATGCATGTACGTATGTATGCGCGTGTGTTGTCTGCGAGTATGTCCGCGAATGCGTGCGTGCATGCGTGAGTGTGCGTGTTTGTGTGTGTGTGTGTGTGTGAGTCTCTGTGTGTGTGTGTCTGGGTGCGTCTGTGTGTGTGTGTGCGTATTTGTGTGTCTGTGTCCGTGTTTGTGTGCAACTTGTTTGGATATGCACATAGGTGCTCGTTTCTTTGGTCTGTACCTATGTTTTCTAGCGGTTTCCGCTTAATGGTCGGATGGACGACTGCAGTTGCTCGAGACCTTGCATTGACATCTGGCACTTCAAGGCTTAGGACTGCATGATCGACAACTTGACTGGCCAAGGGGCCCGTGGACCCGCCTTTGAGAAACAAAAACTAGCTATCAAGGCCGGCTTTTCTGTTGCAAACCGCCATGCCTGCCCTTTCAAGAAGCCTATGGCCTATGGACTCATTGGTTAAGTACGTCCTATCTACCCTGCCCGCGTCACCTTTCCCCTATGTTGCAGCTTGGATAGGCATCGGAGGGTTAGGGGATGCCTTCACGTTTGGTTTTAAAATGTGTATGTGTTCTCATGGGTGACCCCACTCAAAAGTGAGGTTTGACTCCGCGCGTTTACAGCGCAACAGAGCTGGGGTACCTTTGAAAAAGAACGGAACCCAAGCTCCCACCAACCGATGACTAAGCGCACCCGCCCCCGCACTTGGCCAGACGGTGAGCCGCTCTTTGCCTCGCTGTCGGCGGAGCCGGTCGCCGCACCTCAGACCTAACCGGCTGGCCTTTGGGACTGGCGCATGAGCATGGCCAGTACTGAACCACAAGCCCAATTGCACCCCCAATTAGGCTGCATTTACACGCTAATACGCAGTACAAATAATATGCATTACGGGGGGAACGGGGGGAACCCGATTGCCAAGTCTTCGTCAAACCTATGCCATTCCCTTTCCCACTGGCCGAGTGCTCCGGAACACGGAGTCTCGGAGATTCCGACAAGCAAAGTGCCGACAGGCGAGCTTGCAACTCCCTAGCCCAGCCTATGCAACAGCTGGCGAAATGTTGCCACGTGCCATGGGCGTCATTGGCAAAGGGCTTGCCGGCATGGAGCAAACTACCTGTGTCATTTGATTGGCAGGCAGCCGAGCCATGTCTTGAATTGAAGCTGGGGTCTTACCTGTCTAGACATACTTTTCGGCAAGCCCAAGGCAGCAAACTCTCGAAGCAGGTTGATTCCATCAATAACAGCACCCCTAATCCTGATCCTGCAAGGGACGATCCTCGTGAATCCGCCATGTTCACCTCTTGAAACCTAGCAGGTGTCCGCTCGAACCTGTTTGTCTTCGTTTATTTCTTTGCACTCTCCTCCCTTACAAATTTCACACAAGGGGCGGTTGCATGTCTAGGCCGCATCCCTGGCGCAGGCAGGCGACACATCGGGGCCGTAAGGGCGGAGACAGGATCGTGGCCACTGCTGGGAATATTGCGTTGAATCAGATCTGTGTGTTTTTGCGCATGCGCGTGTGTCTGTGTGTGTGGGTGTGTGGAGGTTGGTAAGGTTAGATTAGATTAGGTTGAATAGATATAGATTATATTTGATTAAAGCGGTTTGGATTCGATTAGATGAGACAATGTAGATAGACGGGCAGTCAGCGGACTGACAGACAGGCAGACAGGTAGATAGATAGCTGCAACTGATACAGAATAGGTTTTTTTTCACATGCATATGCCATCAGGACACGCCAGCCAGGAAGTGCAGCCTCACATGGGTTCCAGTCATTGACCAGTGGAATCGATTTGGGCGTTCTCAAAATTAGGGACGCCTCCAAATAGTGGTTTAAACATGATTGTTGTTCGGAAATATTTTGCAATTTTGTTTATTGTGGTTTAGTGGTTGAAATCCAACCACTTAAGTGCTAAAACTTATTGTTTTGCTCCCCTTCCAACGTCAACCAAGTAAAACCATCCAAAAGGCGGTCCCCTATTTTGCGAAGCCCCCAATTTATTCCTTCTCCAAAAGGACGCCTATCGATTCCCGATCGCTTGCAACTTGACCCTTGAGAGGTGTATCGCGGCAATTTGCTGGACGGACGGGAGGCTTGGTTTCACGACTTGACACATGGCCCGGTGTTTTTCCAGTCCATGGGTCATTTGCTAGCTGGAGTCTACAAGACCTTGGGTTGCGGATCAAGTTTCCAGCGAAGTTGGAGGGTTGAAGAATTACGTTCACCAAAATCCCCCCCTAACACCCCGCCCCCTCCCCCCAACACACCGCCTTGGGAAAGTCCTAGGAGAAGTTCTATGAACTTTGTTTGAAGAGAAACTAAATGAAGCCTACCTCACGGGTCCCTGACCTTGAGAAGCACCCGATCGCTTCTCGGCAGCGTTTGCAAAGGAAAACCTACATGACAAGCAGGCACCCAAACCAATCAAGCAGTGCTTGTCGCCGAATGGCTCGGGGCTCCACCTGTTTGGTTGTAGAGGTGCTTCTATGTCCTCGTGCAGCAAGTTATGTTCAGGATGCTGTTTGTTTCACTCTTTTCAGTCCACCATCCTGAGAATGGCTGTGCTCGATCACTGCAACCCTGATTGCGTTTTACACGCTGAGGATGTGCAGCCAGCTGAGAATGGAAAGCAAACCGCGGGCCTTTGAAGACCCGCGCAAAAGACGCATCCAAGTATCCAAATTGCAAGCCGAAGGATTTTAAGCCGTTCGCCCTTTTCAAACCACGAGGAGGCCAAACAGTTCCAGGAAACCAATCCAACCAAAACAGGCAGATGCAACAATTGTTTGTATGGGCTCTTCACAGACCGCCAAAATGAGGCGGCCAAGAAATACGCCCAGAACTGATGCCTGGACCCACAACCACACCATAAAGACAGGTCCGCAAAATGGGGAGGGGCTCAGACCGAAACACCAGCGACCAAGGAGCAAGAAGAAGTCATGGAAATGGGTCTCCCCGTGCTTTGGCATCGCAAAAAGGGGGGCAAATGTCCTACAACCTGGCAAAACAAGAGCCTGAAGTGTTTGATTACAGCGCGTCAGACATGGTCTACCTGTTTGGCAGCCTTGAACATCCACTGCTTGTTTGTGATTTCTCTGTGGTGATGTTTGTACTGGGCGAAGACCATACAACTCATACCAAATCGGCACTCGAAACCCATCCCTTTCCCCGGGAAGGGTTGGGCCCATCCAACCCCTCGGTCCTGACCTGACCTGGGTCCTGACCTGGGGAGCCCCTGTTGCTTCTTCTTTGGGCCCCCCCTCTTTGAACCAACGGAAAACGTAACACAGACAAAGGCACACAAAGCGGGTTTTAAGGCAGACATGGAGCCAACCGGTTGGACTCCCATGGGCAGTTCAAGGGTGTTTCGTCTTGGGCATCGGTTGGAACAAACCGATGGTTAACCAGTTTGAACCATGCATACTTAAAACCATTAATGTTCACCCTCCCTCCAATCATGGAAGTTGACTGTTTGGGGTTCCCCAAAAGGAAAATAGTCTCCAACCCCCCTGTCGGCTTCCATGATTGTTGGAGGGAGGGTAAGCCACGCTTATTTGCTTGTGGGCCACTAGAGCAAGTTTGTCTACTAGGTGATGGAAATGAGATGCGTTTCCCGTTATAAAACAACCGGGTCAATCAGAACCGTCGATTTTCTATTCAAACCAAATAGGTCACCTATCACTAGGTGTCTAGGAACATGCCCATTTACCCGCATGAAACAAATATTCTATGATATTCTATGTTTCCAGGTTAGGTTCAAAATGGTTTCCCCTGGTTTCAATTTGCGGCGCGGTCTCGAATTTCGCAACCATCCATCGTATGGCTCCTTTCAGCCTATCTTTGGGCAAACCTGTAAGCGGCCATGAAGGGACTCACATACCCTCGTATCAAAAGGAACTTCTCTCGCAAAACGATAAAGTCAGGGAAAATTTCATCAGTTTGGTATCACAGATTTCCCCAACGTATATACTTGGTGGCTCCCAGCCATCCCCTTAGCTTTTTAGCCTTTTAGTGTGTAGTGGTAGTTTCCTTTAACCCACTAAGAGTTAAACTTGTAGCGGGGGATCTGAGGGCAGCCTAGTATACCAAGCAACGTTATGTAAGCTGGTTTCGCGTTGCCATCCACTGTAGGTCTTCTTTGTTGCATTTTGCCAAGGGATGTTAGTCTGAATCACTTTTTGCCAACTAGTGAGTTTTCCGTATTAAACCACTAAAAGTTAAACTTTTAGCAGGGGAGCAGAAAGCAACCGAGCAAAGATGTGGGTCAAAATGGGTACCACCGAAATTCACTTTTCGCAGGGGGCCACCGAAAAGCTAAACCCGAGTTTTGGTCTAAGGGTTGCCAGCGACAGGTGGCTGTGAAGGTCCAGCGCCCCGGCCTCGCCGACCAAGTGGGCCAGCGGCCGAGAGAGCGGAGGTCGCTCGAGGCGGTTTTGGTTGAAACCTGCGAGGGGGTTCGGAGCCTTAACTCTACTGCTATTGGGTTGGATCTTTAGGCTTTAACTTTTTTAGAATCCCCTCAACAGAAAGTTAAGCTTTTTGCTGGGGGATCTACAGCACCCAAGTTAAAGGGGAGAAACTTGCGGTCGGTGCGATAGGTAGGGAATGTGGGAATGAAGCCAGGCACTCCCTTAAGGCTGTAAGGCAAACCAGAATGGATGGTTAATAGGGATCATTTTCCTCATTCCTTACTGAGCACCATCAAAACAATCCGTGGCCCCATTTGATAGAAGATTGATGAGTTGATTTTCAAGAGGAAATTGGCTTTTGGCGACCCAGGCTTGGAAGGATTGAGCGCTAAATAGCGCTTTTTCGGGCTTTTCAATGAAGCCTGCGATGCTGATTTGTTGCCGCTTCAACTTGCCAGTGGCACGCATGCAATGATGATTATGCCCTGGAAACAAGAACAGAGCGCAACTTTGCTTGCTGGGACGGACTGGACGGATGGTCCTTTCTCGAGTGATGCTGGCGCCGGAAGTGAACAGGGCCGCCTTAAAGAGGGTTTCTCCACTCCTCGATCGTCTTTGGCACCTGCCCCAACCCAAAGCCTTTTTTGCTTGCATCACTCACGCGGGAAAATGTGCTTTGATCAATAGACCACGCACCATTCAAGAGTTTTTGTTTGGTAAGTAGGGATTTGGCTATGGGTCAAAATCCAAATCATACCCCCAGTGAACAGTGGTGCACCTACTCCAAAATGGTACCATTGGTTTTGACCCACAGCCATTTGTGTTCTTCCAAGGCAATCCCATATGACTTGTGCTTTCACTCTAGGCTCGTTTGTTTGGTCGAGTTGCCGATGGTTATCAAAGCCAATTCGGTAACTGGGGGCTGACTTGAATGGTCTGATGGCACTTAAGATTGTTGGGTCCAGTGTTGAGTCCCCGATTTTTGTTTGGGTGCTTGGTTGCCTGTTCTGCCTCCACAAGGGAACGCATATTTGTGCCTGCACAGCACATGGGGTTGGACGCCATCTCATTGTGCTTCCTTTTGGTCAGGTTCGGCAGCTTTCTTCGTGTTGTTTGTTCACCACGGAAATGCAGGTTGAACCGTTCATATCCATCGGCGGTAGGGTTGGCGAGGCTCATTGGCTCATGGCAATTTGGGTTAGCTTTGGAGTTAAGTGACGCCAAAAGGAACCCCGCTCACTTCGTGGTTCCCCAACTTCAATATACGTCGTGTGGTTTGTAGGGTACCATTTTGGGGTTTGGTATCAACGGCATCCCAAAAGACAACCGGCCATTTGGGGATTTTTTGTTGGGGGGGGGACGCCGGTGTTTGGCACGGCAATTTTCGCTTCAAGGCCTGGACTTCTACGTGCTTCGGCAGATGCTCTCGGCGGTGAACGTCCGCCAGTCAGACGGCGGAGAAAACGGCCCCGTGTTGTCCTTTCTCCTGGGCCCTTTGTTCAGCTCCCAAGTTTCTGGACAAGATCATGCCTGCTTTGGTACGAATCTGAGGGTGGGCAGTGAGGGTAGCTGCTTGAGTTACTAGTGATGCTGGAAGAGTTGACCATCTCATTTGTCTTGCTTTGGGTATAACACAAACGTATAGTAATGTAACTTGGCACACGTTGAAACAATCTACACATGGCGGGGGTCCTCTTGCTTCCGGGGACCATCCTGTCCTACGCCCCCCCCCTCCGCCGAAAAGGACATAAGCCCGGGTCATATCCCCAGCCCCGGAACGCTCCGGAAAAAGAAGGGAAGGAGTGAATGCCCTAAAGTCAAGCATGGTGGGGGCACGTCAGAACGTTGTGTCATTTCGCTTGGAAGGCACGCAGACGACGGAGCAGATATATAGACGCGTCACTGATATGTGCGTGGGGGTACTCGCAAACTTAGAATTTCCTTGTTTCATTTGCCAATCAGCTGATCATGAAACCTCCAACCCAGCCCTTTCCAGTGGCCAGTGGCACACTTGTCCATCAACCGTTGCCTTTCACCACCATTGCCTTTCACCTCTTGGCTGAAGCAACCCCCCCAAGAGTCAAGTTGATGAGGTCCCTTCATTTTCAACTAGCCAAAACTATCTTTCTCCAAAAGTGAACGGTTCCATAGAAACCGCCAGTAGCCTGGCAACACCTGACTCGGGGAAATCCAGTGACTTGCAGGCCGTGATGGGTGCCACGCGAAGTTCCGAGATCGCTGAGCTCGCGGCCCCAGGGAATCACGGAGCCCCTTCTCTTCGTTGCTTAAGGAAAAAAATCCGAGGATTTCGAAAACAAAGCGGGGCCTCTTTTTCTGCCTCGTTTTGACCTGCTGTTTTGAGGGACGCGGACACAAAACGGCATAGCGCCACCTTGTTGTCTGAGCTTCCGCCTGACTACCTTTTTGGGTGGTTCCACGGGAGCAGGGCAGAACCGATTTTGCAAGGTGTCACGGGGTCGGATGTATCATCTTTGGCAAATTGAGCTGCGACCACGCAAAGGGTTTGTGTTGGTTTGTGACCAACCGCTGATGAAGATGCCGTTCTTCAGGGTCCGCTACTTCAGATGGGTGAAGTATTATAGCTCACCCAGCAAAAGGGGCCCTTTGAAGAAGGGAGTCCATTTCAGTCCATTTCCGCATTTCAGGGGAACAGGTCACCTTGATTAGAAAGCCAAAGCAACAGCCCAAGGCGGCAGATTTTCGGGCCACTACGACACCACAGAAAATCGGAAAAGTGATTTTCCCAAAAATCATAGGGATTGTCCCAAGTCTTGGGTACCGCAGAAAGGGTGGTCGACAATCCCCGCAGACGGTCGTAGACCTTCCCAGCTCGCAGTTTTTGGAGGTCGGTGCTGTCTGAAGTGGCCGACGGCCTCTTTGCAGAGATCGACTTTACCATGGAGGCTCGGCCTGGAACACATGGGCCGCTGTGTGTTTTTGACGGCGCCCCTTTTCAGGTTGGCTTCAAAACAAAACCGAAAGGAAGACCTAGGCCAATTTGGGGAGTCCCCTATTTTAAAACATACCCAAAATTGAAGAGGCGTGAAGGGGCCCGAAATCGATTTCTTGAAGGCGATGACGATGTGCCTCAAGATGTGAAAGCCAGAGGCTGTAATGGGCGACACGCCTTCTCTGCATGTTGCACTGCACACTCCTTTCAGGCGCCATGGGTTTGCGTTGGATTTCACCGAGTATTTTGTTGTATGGTCTTTCTCGTGCAGAACTCTAATAAGGAGGCAACTGCGTGTACGTTATGTTTTTTTTTCCCTTCAGCTTGTCGGCAATCACGCCATGTTTTGTTTTGGCGGGGCGGGCATTCTGGGGACTGCCTGTATGCGGCCTCCATTGACCTGGCTGGCTGTCTTGGCAGATTCTGTTGTCCTTTCAGCTTTTAGCATGGCTCAGTTTGGACACATTGCAGCCTGTGAAGACCACCTGAGACCCTTCTGGAGAACTCTAATAGCTGTAAAAAGACCAATTTGGTGGCTGGTTGCAAACATTTTGTTTGGTTGAAGTGTACAACCCCTTTCACGGGAAAGACCAATTTGAAAGTTTGGTGGTTGGATGCAACAGCTATGTTAGAAGTGTGTACAACCCCTATGGGTTGATGATTTTCCCAGCCCTTTCCTTCCCCATAAAAATGTCTGAGTCATATAGTGCTTTTTTCTAGGATTCGGACCCCCTCCCCCCCCCCCCCCACAAAAAAAAAAAGGCGTAACCGGTCTCCCTTTGGATTCCTAAAACCATCCCAAGGGACGATCCATGCAAGTCGGATTGGACTCCCCGTTCAGGGGCAGCACATTGAGAAGTTCATGGACTTGTACGGAGCTGACTGCCCAGACGTGGTGGTGCCTGAGGTGCCGACGACGCCAAAAAACAAAAAAGAGGACAACGGACGATGGGAATCCCATGGTCACCTGGGAGATTCAGATTTATGAATGTTGTTGTTGTTGTTTTTGTGTGTGGTTGCTTGTTGTTTGACATTTGTATGTATATATATATATATATATTTATTTATTTAACTGCACTCTCCAAACAAACATGAAGAACACTTACCAGATTCATGCGAGCCTCCGTGGCCATGGCAGACATGTTTTCTGTCTAACTCATGTCGAGCTCCTTATTGAATCCGCGCTCCAGGGCGGTCCTGTAAATCTCTTTCACATATCGCAGATCTCTTTACTGCGACCGACCCAGGCTTCCTCTCAATGGGTTCCCTTTGTACGGAGTTGCGGGAGGTACAGCGCGCCTTGTGGCTTTGGATCCAACTTGTTTTGATTGGTGATTAGGGCGTGGCTCAAAATTCAAGAGCTAGGGTTACGCAGGTTTTCGTCTTTGGGTCCATTTGCCAAGGTGCCATTTTGGTACATTTATTTGAGCCACAGGCATTAGGCATTTAGCGCAGGCGTTGTTAGTGCGAAGGGACGTACTGCGCGGCATGCCTCGCTCGATTAATCCCCATTTGTTACATGAAAGTTTTGCCGTTTGCTCGGTTAGGCACGCTGGCAACACTTTGGTCGGAGGCATGCTGCCCCAAAGCGCAACTGGTCCCCCTACTAAAATAGACCACACACAAAAAAAAAAAGAGTACTTATTCTAGCCTCTCACTGGAGGACCTAGGTCTAGGAAACTGTTTGGATGCGGTTTTTGTGGATCTTCGCCTGTAGAATATTAAACGAGTACTAAAAGAGTACTAAAAAAGGACTAACAGGGGGAAGAACAGGTAAAATCCACAAAAAGCGCATCCAAACCGTTTTCTAGACTAGGCAACGGCTTCCTTACCCCAGGCTTCGCAGTCCAGGAAACTAGCACGAATGTGGGGCAAGCTTGCGACATGTCTGGTAGCTTCCTCTTTCTGCGAAGCTCAAGCCACGGCCCGGCGAGTTTGTTGCGCGTTGCTGCACCAAAAGTGGCAATGAATCATCGGAACCCGCAGGCATACATGTGCTTCATTACCCCCAAAAGGGGAACCCTGGGTTTAAGTCTATCTTGGGGTAGTACAACAGTGGAGCCCTGTAAATACGGGCCTGTCTCAAAAGAGGGAACCCCTTGCATGGTGTCAAAAGGAAAACAGCCACCTGGAGAGGCCAGAATTTTGAGAACCATGAAAATTGATCAGAGAAATCCAAAAGCCCCCAGGCAGGGATCGACCGCATCCCTTTCCCCCTCTCTTATCTTAACAACAGGCCCCCGTTTGTTGAGCGTTTTTTGCAGTCCTCGTGATAAGCCAATCACCTTGCGATCCTGAAAACTAAAACCAATTGGGCACTCACAAGCACAGCCTTCCGATTTTCCAACCAGTTCGAGCTTATTTTTAGCAATCACCACTGTGATTTGTTTGGGTCCCTTCTGACAGAGCCGCAGGTCATTTGGTCACGGACCCGGCTAAAGGCGCGGATGCGCAACCTTGCACCGCTGCGGGTGTTGCCTCCGGTTTCGAGGTTGCCACTGTTGGCCCTAGTTACCACATTCATGTCAGGGAGCAGCAGAAGTGGAGCAGCAGCAACAGTAGCACCAACAAACAACGACAATATCAAGAAGAGCCAAAAGAAGAGCAAAAAGAAGAACAAAAAGAAGAGCAAAAAGAGGAGCAAGAAGAAGAACAGTTTCAAGAAGAACAAAAAGAAGAGGAACAAGAAGAGAAGCAAGAAGAAGAACAAGCAGGGGACAAGAAGAAGAGCAAGACAAGGAACAAGAAGAGGATCAAGAAGAAGAGCGCGAAGAAGAACAAGAAGAGGAACAAGAAGAAGAAGAAGACGAAGAAGAAGAAGAAAAAGAAGAAGAAGAAGAAGAAGAAGAAGAAGAAGAAGAAGAACAACAACAACAACAACAACAACAACAACAACAACAACAACAGGAAGCAGGAAGCAGGAAGCAGGAAGCAGGAAGCAGGAAGCAGGAAGCAGGAAGCAGGAAGCAGGAAGCAGGAAGCAGGAAGCAGGAAGCAGGAAGCAGGAAGCAGGAAGCAGGAAGCAGGAAGCAGGAAGCGGATGAGATGGGGGTGACTGTACGAAATTGCAGACCAGAATCCCATATCCTTGGGGCCTTGGTTTTCTCGGTTGGTGACGCATGGTTGTTTCTTTTCTGTGCAGGGGTCCCGACATCTCCTTGTCCTCGGCACCTGGGATTCGTGTTGCCTCGCTGTCTCGCAGAGAAGGGCACGCCCAAACAGGCAAAAAGAGTAACACCCTTGTTTGGGTGGTGTCTTTCTTAGGGATCCCCCCCCCAAGCAAGCAAAGAATGCGGGTTCCCCCTAATTTCCCCATGAAACCCACTCCACCAAGGCGACCATCAAAAAAAAGACGAGCCCTTGCACTGGGGCCGCTTCGTTTCTTGGGGCTTTCCGAGCAGGTGCTGACCACCACTTGGCTCCTGGGCCGCAAGCCGCGGGACTTGAACGCCCAGGAGGGCTCTGGCATCACTCGGGGTTTATTCCCACTGTGATACTCTTGGGGATCTCCCCCTGTATATGGGGTGTATATCCCCCTGTATCTGGGGTTAGTCTTTGGGGCTGGCCGGGGTTTCCTTGTATATGGGGTAGTTTTGGGGATTTGTTGTCTTTGTTGTATCACAGATTCGTGGATTCCATTTCCCACAACCCTGCCCAGGAGAAGCTGCGGATGGTGAACCTGGCCGCGCCGAGCCCTCGGACCTCGGCGATTTCGGCTCCCGAGCCAAGCTTTGCTTCGGATCGTGAGCATGGCAAGGACACGGTTGGGAAACATCTTGCTTATTTTCGCTTGTGGTTTCGTGGTTGAGATCCAAATCCAATTAACTGCTAAAGGTTAACTTGTTGCTCCCCTTCCAACGTCAAGAGGAAGGGATCTTAAAGTTGCTGGGACTGCAGAGCCCAAAGGTTCGCAAAAGGAACCTGAGAAACAGGAGGTTTGAAGATGTCGATGGAAGCAATCGCGCCATGAGCTTACGTGGTGAAACTAATGGTTGCCATTGGTTTCGCAATTTGACGGAGCACATCAATTATTTGATGTTGAGACGTTGGTG